AAACTGAGCAATTTTATACTTAGGTAGGTAGATTTGATATAATTCAATTGTTGTGGTCTGAGGAATATGTGGTATTTTTTGTATAGACCTTTTAGGCACACCCTGTATGGTATTTCAAAGTGTTCAATGAAATTGATTAACATTTACATTTTGTGTCGGCCCCATATAGGATTTCAAGTGTGTCATATGGTTTTTGTATTCTACTTGTCATTCTCTCTTATTTGGTACCCATGTCGAGGGAATTGTGAACGAATTCAGTAGTTATTTACCAAACAAGTGCGAAAAGTAGTACTTTACCGCACGCGACGGCTATTGCACGAACGACGCGGGGCGGAGCAAGCAAGTTTTCAATAAACAAGATTTTAATAGTTACATAGATCATTTAGTTAGTCATAAATATCCCCATTTTCAACAATACAAAAATCGTGGCGAAAAGTTACTTTTCAGCACTAGTGGGGTAAAGTAACTTTTCTGCACGCTCGTATAAAAAGGAAATTTTTTTGTCGGCGGCCATATTGGATTTCAAGCTTTGTTATAAATTGTATTCTACTTTATAATAACCGTATTGAATCTGATAATACCCATATTGACCAGACCCAAAGATATGTGTAAAATTTCAGCATGATTGGATATCGGGACGTCGAAAAATCGATTGCCAGACAGAACTCAAAATGTTCAATAAAAAATAAATTTTTCTCGATCTTCTCATCTTTCCGAATAATTAACAGGATTCCAACGGGAAACCTTGAAGAGAATGAAAATTCGACTGACTAACATATGATATTCTAAGTGGGACAAAAAAATCAACAAAGTAGGTCTTGAAGCAAAATACTGTGCAGTCCATATATGTTTTCTTTGCGCAAAATTCATTTTCATATCTGAACATCGTTGAGAAATTTGACTTCAATTTTCTAAAAATTGCTGGGACTACCAAGTTATTCACAAAGAATACCCAAAGAATTCTCGAACTTCCCAAAGAATTCCTCGGACTTCCCAAAGAATACCCGGACTTCCTCAGGAATTCCCGGACTTCCCAAGGAATTCCTGGACTTCCCAAGGAATTCCCGGACTTCCCAAGGAATTCCCAAAGAATTCCCGGACTTCCCAAAGAATTCCCAGACTTCCCAAGGAATTCCCGTCTAGGGTACACCGGACTTCCCATGTGATTTACCCCTCGACGTGACCAGAATAAAAACACCTCGAAACGTTCAACCAGAATTGATTGAATCAATTTCAGAATCGGGTCAACAGTCCCAAGCGTTCTCAAGCATTGAGCATTGTCATTTATGAAAAACTCCTGAATGCATCATTGTTAGTGTCAATTCCTCGGTCAATTCTATTCATTAGGCGTAAAAGTAGGTAACTCTCAAAGAGCGTATATATATATAATTGTCGTAAATATACTGCAACTGCAATAATAATTATTGTAGGTGGATTTTTATCACGTAGAAAGTATCACGGAAACAGAATTCACGACGAAGCTCGGGTAGGCTAAAGCCGAGGCTAAAGGTTAGTAAAGTTTCTCAGTTTAGGCATTAACGGGTATTAACCTACTTTGGTAGGTAGGTACCATGCCTAATTAACTTATTGATTTTCAGCAAATGTTACTATCCTTGTGTTCTTTACACCACTCCATTTCTTCTGACATTTTATCATCGCATTTTATTAAAACGAACTGAGAGTATTTTTTCCGCATATAAATAGATCACCTAAATTCATATTTCATGGCCCTATTCCACTCGATTCTCTTCTAATAGCTCTAGAACCACTTATACATAAATCTGGCGAAACGACTTTTTGACGAGTCTTTTAGCACAGTTTTAGGCTCAAGCTCATAGTCAGAGACGTCGGCCTTATAGGTAAAGCAGGGCCTACTCTATCTTACCGGGCCGGAGCATCGCTTTCGTGACGTCACACTAGTAGGGACAAAATCAAGGCAGTGGAAATTGTCTCTCCCGTTTAATTGATTTACCTCGGGAAAACGGTCACAGTTAGCGAAAAATATCAAGAGGTCAAATATGTACAGAAATGAATTTTCCAGAAGATGAATCAAATTTCACTGATTTACGATCATTAATTTCAGAAATATGGCATATCAAAATTAATTGACGCCATTCAGAATTGTCCTTTTTCAAACAGCTACCAAAATTCCAATATTCAATTTACAGAAATGATTCAACCATGAAAAGATTTCGCATAGTATCTAGATTGACTGAGTTTTTTTTTGAAATTCCCAAGGGCCAACAACAAACCGATATTTCAATTCAAGTAGAACGATGATTCAGGTGTTCATTACAGAATAGTTCAAAAATTTCGAACGCCTCCCATGCTAATCCTATCAACTGTAGATATATGATGTCACTGACTTTTTTGTAGGAAATTTGATTGCCTACAAATCGGTATAATACACATCCACTTTATCTCGAAGGGTTTTAGCAGCGTTTATCTCTAAAGATGATCAGGACGCACTTTGATGACGTTCGAAATCCTATCACTCGAGTGTGTTATTACACAAAAACGCCTATTCGGTATCAATTATTTTCTGCTGAAGAGTATATATTTGAATGATAACGTTAAATTCATGAAAAAAATTTGATTTGAATATATTTGGAAACTATCAAAATTAAAAAGAACAAAATATGTGGAGTTCATATGAACACAACCTAACAAAAATAATTGAAAAAATATGTATCTCAACAATGAGAGATATAAAAATGAATATAACGAATTGAATAACAAAATACCCAGAACAACAATAGATGAATAAATGAGCAAAAAAAACGTTGAATCCTTATACACACACAAAACCAGATAAACTGTATAAATGATCAACATAACAAAATAAAAAAAATTTATAGATATCACAAAATGAAATAAACTCATAACAAAAAATATATATACATCATCTCAATCACAAACTAAATATTGAAATCTGAACTATATCCCATCTTGAAAGTTTAGTGATTTTTCTTTTTTAATTTTTTTTATTTCGCAATAATTGTTCAACGGAATATTTGAAATGGTTTTAGGGAATGTTCTGCTGATTAAATCAAAAGACCCACAACTGCAACATCGATTCTCGGAATAATTGAGAAGGGAATTGATTTTAATTTCTGCTAAATTCTCCAAAACTTTATGTTGTGACTTACATTGTATAAATATTGTTTCGAATTTTTCAGACACCAATATTAGTTGGTCTGAACCATACGCCATTTAGAAATGAAATAAAATAAAAAGTATATCGCCCTTTACCAGTCCAAGGAATTATACCGCGAAATCGTAATACAGCGAAATTTGGGTAGGTGGGTATAACGGCCCATTTTTTACGCGCTCTTTATATTCAATTTCTTTCGGACTCATTTTAGGTAACTCTACAATTTTTTCACTATTCAATTGATTCATTATCGTAGTTTGATATATTGAGTTAGTTTCATCTTATTCCAATTCCAAATTTGCAAAAAATAGTATTCTGTAGTACAACGTCCTGATTTTCAATAAAATGGAATTTCGTTAAAACGCCATAACTCGGTATTGATTCATCCTATTGGATTCATTTTTTCACCAAAAGTTGAGGAATTTGTTGGGGATCATTTCGTCTCGATTGAGTGTGCTTCTAAAATTTATAGTAAATGAGCTATAGCCTATCAATTACCAACGCATCATACGGACTGATGTGAAATCTCAACCTACTAGTGTGACGTCAGCGTCGAGAGAGAGGGGATAGACTACGGCCCGGTGAGATACAGTAGGCCCTGGGTAAAGGCTGACTGACAAATAAATTAAAACTAAAAAAAAAAACGTATTTATTCAAACGCTCTAGAAAAAAGAAAATAAAATGTTCTTTTCAAATTATAACAATTTATAGCATCCTATTAAGGAATTGAGAGTAATTTTTCCACACATAAATAGATCATCTAATTTCATATTTCATTGCCCTATTCTACTCTTTTTCTCCTAGCTCTAGAACTACTTATACGTAAATCTGGCGAAACGACTGACTGACAAATAAATTGAAAGTAAAAAAATATATAAAAAACAGCGTTCATTTAAACGCTTTAGAAAGAAGAAAATAAAATTTTCCATTCGATTTATAACCTCCTAAAAGCTTTTCGCCATGATAAATATTTACTTGAATTGAAATTTTAAACATTCTAACTCAGCATTCTCCATTTCTCATGACATTTTATCACATTTTATTAACGAGCTAAGAGTATTTTTCCGCATATTGATAACTGACTGACAAATGAATTAAAAGTAAAAAAAAACTTAGAAAAAGCGTTTATTTAAACGCTCTAGAAAGAAGAAAATGAAATTTTCCTTTCAATTTATAACCTCCAAAAAGCTTGTCGCGATGATCAATATTCAACTTACCTAATTGAAGTTTCAAAAATTTAAACTTAGCAGATTTTACGTAATTAAATTAGTACTAGTTTATTTACACAGGTGAGTTCATATTTTTAAAATTTCATGGCGACAAGTTTATATGATCATACAAATTGTGTATAATGTATATATGTAACGTAAGTTAGGTACGTATTGCTTTTCTTTTTCTTAAATATTGGATATTGGACCTAGCCCCCCCAGGAATGAATCTTAATTACGCCACTTGGCCATCAACCTAGCCATCAACCCTCGTTTCACCGGTGCACTGACAACTCTCGCTACGCCACTGAACCCTCCCCAGCAAAAATTATAGCGTTATGGTATGGGTACCCGAATATAGATCCATGGTTCTTGGCCTTGGGTCTACTTGGTCCAGACGTATGGGACACCCTGTATAAGAAAAACCGTAAAAATGAGTCAACATGCGATTCTGATGAATCATGCGTCTGCATGGAGATCTGCATCTGGACTCACTGTTGATAAAATATACTTGGTAAAGGTTGGTAATTATTACCTACATTCTGGTCTAAATTATGTATTGCTCATGACCCCACTCAATATCCTGCACGTTTTTAGAACTCCTGGTATTACTCTGACCACCGTATACTTTTTATACAGGAAAGTTGATATTCGATGACAGTGATTACGGTGCTGGTGCTATGACTAATCCTCCTGGAGCTCATTCTCCTCAGTGTCTCGGGTGAATATGAACACTCATTATAAGTTACAAAACAAATCAACAACGAATGTATAGAATAACGATCTAGGTAAATACTTACCAAATTAGTTCAGTTTCAATATCCTTGGTCGTTAATCACAGAACCAGTTTTTAACTTTGGAGGAAGTCGAGGATAATGTAAAATCTCGAGTAAAACTTTAGTAAAACGTGGTAAAACATTCAATAGGTATAAACAAAAGATAATTGTTAGATAAGAAATCAACCGGCGATATTTCAATTATCTGTTTTGTTTATGAATTTGAAATGATAAACAATCACAATATAACAATAAAATTTTCTTAAAATAAAGCGACCGTAAAACACCATGACGAAGTGAAACACAAACACCACATCCACAAAAGCTCATTGGCAACTGTTGCTCTTTTGCATTCCAAGTTTTTTGTTGGTGTAGGATTTACTTGTAGAGCTTGTTCCAAATAAGAATACTCGAAAAGTGGGGATCATCTGCCTCGCAGTGCTAGCGCACTGAACACATGGAGAGGGAAAAACTTTGGGTAGTGGGACAGTTCGTTCTCTTTCGAACATACTATACACACAATTCAACTAGCAGGCTGACAATAGGTGCGTTCGGTTTAACAAAATCGGAGCCGAGCGAGCAGATGCAGATTTGGTGTCACGTGATCACCTAGCAGATAGAGCTAAAGATATTTAACGAACGCTCAAGGAGGTAGTAGATTGCGAGCGCCAGCTGTCAGAAGTAACAGAAAACAGAAACAATTCACTTAACCTTATTACTTTTGAGAACACGTCAGAGCAACAAAGTTCTTTTGAATGTTTGTTGTTTATATTTTGATAATTACTAGGGAAGGAATGATTCTGTCTCATATGATCGGTCATTAACTGTGGATCCAGGGCAGTTGTGATCGCATATATTACATATATAATTAATATGCTACCTACAGCAAATTCGTCGGTCATTCTGGCGATTCTGGGCAAGGAAGATTCTACAAAATTCAGTTTCGTGTTTCGTTTCCAGTTGATCGAGTCTTGAATTTTTCGACATAAAAGAGATATAATTTCAATAACATGTTGTTGACATTGATTTGTTGACAATTGACAACCGAATAACCGATCAAATCTGAATGATCTGCTCCTCAAGGCGGAGCAAACAGATTACATCTTTCAGCTCGCTCTGACAATTAACGAACACGGAGCAGATTAGACAGAGGAAGTAGATCTGATTTATCGAACGCTTTCCGAGCTAACAGATGGAATCGAGCTAACAGATATGTTATAACCGAACGCACCTAATGCTGACATCAAACACAAAACAGTCGGCTCAACGTTTCTATGCCTCACTGAAACGACTGCTACGTCAAATGTCATCTTGAATGACAACTATTCGCGATTGAAAATAACACGTCGCCCCACCTGATGGCAGCAACTTGAACACTTCTGAGCGGTTTGTTTTGACGATATGACCAATTAGCACGAACAAAACCAAATTTGAACCAATGAAAACAAAGTAAACATGCCGCTTTGACAGCTTTCAAGAACTCTCCGATAGGTGTCGTTCGCTTATTTTCTATCCCTAATATTGTACGATCGACTCTGTTTTAAGAATTTTTGACGTTTAATTTGATGTGCAATTATTATTGTGCAAATTTTCCGGTTTCTACTGTTCCATGAAATCCTTTCTGTTTTGATAACAGCAAGATGGATGTGATTGCAATGTAATTTTAGAGTTTTATATTGAGAATTTGAAGCGATTACAAACAATTTTGAAACCATTTTCTTGTGTTGAAATGGAACCTACTCCGCCCAATACGATTCTTATCAATCCAGCTAGTCCCAACAATGGGGTGAGTAACATATTATAATCTGTTGATTTTATGTTTATTATTCATCCATTTTGATATCACAGAATTCGCCAGATGTATCTGTAGCTGTAGACAATAATCCGCCGAGCCCAGTTTCTTTGGCCGCCAGCTCTACTTATGGGGACATTCCGCCACCAAAGGCAGATTATTATGCCCCACCCCCATATGAGGTGGCCACCACAGGTACAAAATTACCTACTTATGAAGAAGTTCAGAGAGAAAAACATCTGGAAGGCCAGGAACTTCCAATTCCCATCAACTGTCCAAGTACAAGGGTGAGTTTTGAACTTCTCCAACCTTAAGTCTGGGAGTGTTATTCAAACATTGACCTGGTTTTTATAATGAATTTCTGTTCCCATTGTTGGTTTTTCTCCTTCTGGTTCATATGTTCAACTTATAGGGTGTTTTCTTTCTCTTAGTTGAATCACATTGTTAACTGATCCTTCAAATCCAGTTGAGTGGACTATTTGGGGATAGCCCTGGTTTCATTGAAAATTATTGATTTTTAGCCCATTCCTTTTTGTCAGCCTGGACAGAGAGTGATAGCAATTGACACAGATAATCCAGATGATGTGGACACTTCCTTGTTAGGAACTGATTTTATGTTCTACATTGCATTCTTTGGTGAGTTCAATTTGAACTTGAGCACTATGATATTATATTCCTGAAAATTCTTATTGTAGTTGCCTTTATCTTCAACTGGATAGGATTCTTACTGTTGATGTGCTTTTGCCATACAATTGCTTCACGATATGGAGCCCTATCAGGGTTTGGTCTGTCTTTAGCCAAGTGGACTTTTATTGTACAGCATTCAACTGAACTAGCATCAAAAGATAACAGTTGGTTGTGGTGGTTGATAATGACATTTGGTAGGTTTAAAAACTGGAATCCACTTCTATTTATAGCTTTAATTGTTTTCTTTCAGGCCTCATTATATGCATTCGTGCCATACTGCAATATTTAAGTATAAAAAGGGGTTGGCATATGCTTTCAGCCAGCCATCAAGAGAGGCTCCTGTTTTTCTACTAAGCTTCAAGAAATCTCAGTGTGAATAAGTATTTACAGCTTTGTTATACTTCTGCTAATTTTAAATGTGTTTAGAAATATTATTGAATTGTCTCATTCCTTATTTTATTGTAATTTATCAACTATTATGAATTCAATATACCTAGTAGATATTGAATTCAATTTGTGCAAATTCTACTTTTTTAGTACATAAGTATATATTTTTTGTATATCCAAACTTCACATTGTAACACTCCTATAGAGAAATCTCTGCACCAAATGCAAGAAGAGAATTAAAAAGTTGGTGCACAATGACAATATTTTTGTTTCCCACAATAGATTAGACAATGTGATTAATGTTCAGGCAGTTCCAATGAGTATAAATAATAGATTATTTATACAATTATTTAGTTTTTTTATTCCCTGCTGACTGGTCAATCTGAAAATTAATGTCCAGTTGAAGACTATCCAACCAGGGTTGTAAAACAGTCTTGGGTTCATCTGCATTTGTATAGGGTAGCCCAATCAGCAATCCCTTCACTGCAATTCAAATATCTACACAGGAAGTGAAAATTTGAATGGAAGAGTAAGGTGAAAATAACCATCAATAGTTTGGTGTTCTTAATACAAGTATTCAAATACACAAAATATTATGAATTGGAGGTATTCAACCACATTCTCCAAAACTTCACTTCAGGAATAAGTGATGCTGATCGGGAAAAATGGGTTAATGAATATACTGGTGTTCAATAAATTATCTTTTATTTACAATTTTTCTAATAATCACAGAAAAGGAATGTATAGTTTCCATATATAATATAAGATATGAAAAAATATCCACACACAGTGCTGAAGAAATCTCAAATTTATTCACATATCAATCATATCATGGAATGGCAAGTTGAAAATACTTTGAGATGACTTATAAATATATAGAATTCTAATATAAATTTTTCAAAACGATCCAAATGGAATTTTCACTAACAGCACTGTATGTGAAACATTTTTTGGATTCAACAAATCGTCCCAGATTCAAAATATTTCAAATTCTTCTAAATAAATAGTTACTAGACCTAGAAAGTTATATGAATATTCAACAGGAATATCTAGGTCATGTCAACTATTAAGTACTGAAACCTTTCATGTTGACACAGGATATACAGTATATTCAAATCTTCATGCAAGAAATATTTGCTACATGATTGGTCTTGCTAAAACATAATCATGTTGATATGAAGAAGTTTGGTCCAGCTTACTTTTAATTTTTTCTAGGGAATTTTACTCACAGGGTTCCATTCCGTTATTGAGTGTGAAAGACGGTAGAGAATTTTGGAAATTATTCGTAGAAATGGCAAAATAACAGCATCAGAGTATAATAAGTCTTGTCAGATTTTCTTTGAAAAATCATGGTCGACAAAAAAATATATACTACCTACATATTGCAAGAAACACTCAAATATAACATCCAAATACACACTTCCCCAAAGAATCAACGCACCACTGAAAAGTATCCAAAAGTTTGAGATACATTTTTGTCAAAACTAAATTTATCCGATTTGGACTTTTTTTGTATCTAATGACAGTTTATCTCCTTCTGAATATTGTGCAATCTGTATTCGCATGAAAACATCTTTTTGTAATACCCTATAGAGTGTGACACTTACATTATTAAGTTAAAACTGGAATTATACTTTAGCCTCATCATCTTTCAACATTCCTTCTTTGGATTTACTCCATTATCTATCCTATTATTCCATAAACACGATTTTATAGCATAACATGGTTTCATTGAATGGGCCTTTTCATATAGATATATTTTCAAGACACATGCGCTCGTTTTTAGATCCAAAATTTGATTGGGTAATGCGAAGGTGAAGTCTCATTGGCTATATAGTTCCAACACAAAATTTTGATTGGCCATTTCGAATATGGCGGTTTTTATTGACGTTATAGATGTTCTGTCAAATGTCAACAGTGTCAACCACCATGGGCATTCGCCATTGAGAAACAACAATAACAATATAGTATTTTCGTTTGTATATTCCTGGTGAGTATTAATTGTATTATATTATTTTGAATCGAAAAAACGTTACTTATTCTTTACTGAGGAGTGTGGTGCAAATGTTTCGGTGAAAATGGATGCGAGATGTTAACACAGATAGTCATTTGTCATCTAAATGAAAAGGCCTATTCAATTAGCATTATATAAGCAGGTAAGTAGCAGGCTATGGAATAGAAGCCTCACAGCTGGAAGGTAGATATTGTAGATTTTAGAACCATATAGTGGGTTTTTTGTTGATGCAAGATAATGCCAGGCCTTGATCACTTCGTTTGAGTTGTGAGAAATTATCTAGAGGAAGTCGGTATCGCTACCATGGCATGTCTACTGTCCAGGATCGGAGCCTGGATTTGAATTCCATCTCTGGGACATTCTTATTGGGACAAGATTACAAGAGGAACATAACTTGAATAGGTAGGTACTTTCGAAGACACAGCAAATTTGGGGAGACCCAGACCAAAATGACATAAGGTGTCTAATCTCAAGTATAGGCCGTCTTTACCAAGAAGTCATTCGTGCCCGAGGCGGAAATATTCGCTGTTAACCTTCATTTTTCGGTGTTGAACGATAATATTAATTCTCCATAAAATCATATTATGGAATAAAATGTTGTTTCTCCAGTGATAAGAGAGATTATGAAGTGAATACAAAAAAGAAATGTTGAAAAAAAACAAGGCAGAAGTGTGATTTCAATTCTAACTTGATGGTGAAACTATTACACTCTACAAGGTATTACAAAATTCATGAAAAACATGTAGTAGTAGTACCTAGTATGAATGAAAAATAGGTTCGAATACAGTTTACACAACACTGTTCAGAAAGAGAGAACACATGTCATTCAAAACAAAAAACGTCCAACTGTATCTTGAACTTTTGGCTACTGTGCATTAATTTCTTGGGGAAGTATAGTTGAAACAATTATAAGATATCTACCAAAAAGGTTCATACATAATATGCATAAAACGGTTATAATTAACTGATTAGAAATGTACAAGAAAAAATAAATAAATAATAATCTCATTCTCTAAAACAACTACCCTTGTAAAAATAAATAACAATCAAAATAGGTAGAATAACATCATTAAAATAGTCTGTCATTACGAAAATAAACAATATGAAAAATGTCAAATTATGAAACTTGAAAGTCATAAAAATATTAATCACATGACTGGTGGAGTGAAATTCATCAGACACTTATAAATTGAATTGAAATAATAAGTATATAAATATTTCCTGCTCATTCCTTCAGTTGCCTGCCGAGAGATACTTTTGAATGGAAAAATATAGTTTATATAATTTTCACTAAAAATAAACAGATCGTTGATCCTAACGTCAAACCTAATCCTACAAAAACTGTCATTATGATGGATGCTAGCTCTTTTTCATGGACATCAACGGCTCTGAAAATAGAATAATAGATAATATTTCCTCTACAGTGTGTCCAGTTTTCGATGATTTTTCATGATATCTTATCAGTTATCTTTGGCGATAGAACCTTGCCCTGTGCCACTTTTTTGTGAAACTCAAGATGGCCTAATCAGATTTTGCATAACTGTTTCTGTTTATGAGATACAGGGCGATTTTGAAAATTTATAAGTTTTGGACCCCCTTTATATCTACGAAGTTTCCCAGCGAAAATGTCAAATCGAAATCTTATCCCATAGAGAATTTTACGCAGAATCCAGTGGTGGACTCAATTTGTTTTTTCGGGGTATGTTTTTGGAGATACGACTCAAACTTATGATTCTTCAAATGGAACGGCCTGTATTTTATGAGCTCATTGAATGCCTTATATTTTTTCCTTGAAAATGATAAATAATGTATGAATATAAAATTTGCAAAAATGCTACGAAATCACTGAAACATAATAATAAATAATTCCGAAATTCAATTGTTTTAGTAAATATTCAATCAGGTGCTTATTCTACGTTATGAACTTTTTATTATTATTTATTTGTTGCTATTAGGTATCTGATTTTAGCGTTTTGTTAGTGAATTAGTGTTGGTATCGTTTTTGTCCTCTTCATGGAAAAGTCAAAGGAGATATTTCTTCATATCGAACTTTCTTTATATGAAGAATCCATAGCCCACTATTTAAATTCAATGTTTTAGTGATTTTGGAGCATTTTTGAAAATGTTATATTTATACATCATATATCATTTTGGAGACAAAAAAAGAGGAATTCAATAGGCTCATGAAATTCAGGGTGTTTATTATGAAAAATCATAAGTTTGAGTCGTCGTATGTCCGGAACCATAACCCGAAAAAAAAAATGTGTGCGCCACTGGATTCTGCGTGAAATTCTCTATGGTATAAGATTTTGTGTAAAAATATCATGTTGATGATAAGATGATGATGTCATTTTTGAAACGATACACTCAGTATTTTTGAATATTCATCGTTCTGAATGACTGATTCCACTTATCTAATAGAGGAAAAAGGAACATTCTACTACATGCTAAATTATTTTGTGGATATTTTTCGGAGCAATGACCTGAACTGAAATCTAGATGAATAAAAAGATGTGTTGCATGAGACTGAAGATACAATAGAACTGAAAAAATCTTTCGTAAGATCTCATTATTATTGAATATCCGGCAACATCGCCAAAGTCAATTTTACTTCCGGTGCTTCTGACGATGCCAAAAGCAAACGCTTGGGTTCTGCTGTTCCGAAATAAAGGATTAGCAAGCCTACCGCAGGTAATTCTGAATCTTTAGGTTCATAAGTATATGTAAGTTATGCAAATTCATTGTATTTTCACTTGAAGAAGCTACTGTGTTAGCGAAACATGTGATGTATTTTCAAGAATCCTGTATAAATTGAATCGTTTGTGAAGTTTTTTACATTTAGTCTATTTGAGTAATATTACAACTGAATATCACGTGCATCAAAATAATCAGATAATTTCACAATCGAAATATCCAAGCAAAATTATCGAAAATTCAGATGCTCTTGTGCAATTAGCACTGAAAATAATTTGATGAAATTATGAAATCAAGTGTAGCAGTTACCTAGGAGCCAAAACACAAGTCAAGTTGGCCAAGTACCCATTGCTGATAGCGAACAGGAACATTATCATAATATACTGCCAGTCTTTGTCGAACACAACTGCCAAATTATGTCTAGGATTCTCGTTACACAACAGTAACAGGGGAATGAAGATGAATCTGGCCAAACTCAATAGTATGATCAGGGTGACATTCTTTGGCTGAAAAATAATACTCATTACAGAATTTGAATATACATAGGTTGATTCACCTACTTGATATTGCGAATAAGAAAGTGGTGAATGAATCTCACATTCGAGAAAAAAACCTGTGAAATTTGAAAGATACTCTAATGAAACTAAATGCCTATGTACCGGGAAAACAACTAAGAACGGCTGTCGGCCATATGTCAGCAACGAATAATAATACAAGCTTGAGATAGAATTAACCTAATGGTATGCATATCATTATTATACGATGTAATAGAGAAACTAAATCTCAACAGACCACATGATTGCTTTTCGCCAACGGAAGATATTAGTTATCAAAGTTGAAGTATAATAGATATGGTGCTTTGAGAAGATGTCCTAAACTTAGTACATATACATCAAATATCATTCTCTATTCACATATACTCAGTCGAATTAACTATCTCATAAATATTTGGGGATCTTGTTCCAAAAATAGTTTCAACAAAATTTCTGTTCTATATAAAAAGGCATTGAAAGTATTGTATCGTCTTCCATATGACACACCAACGAATCAACTGTATAAGGAAACAAACACATTTTCTTTGGAAGAGCACTTTTTAATCAATACTCTCTAAATTTCCTATTATATCATCAACAAAAAGCTTAAATCAAATTTTATATTAATCAGGAATTCCGAAATTCATGATCATCACACTAGACAATATAACTTGTTTCATCTTGAAGCTGCAAATTCTAAACTTGGGCAAAAAAAGTTTACACATAAGGGGGTTTTGAAATTCAATAAATTACCAGATGATATCAAAAACAGCCCAACTATTATGCAATTCAAAAATAAAGTCAAGAAATATATTTATATGCAAAGGAATGATCAAAGCTGAAAGACCATGAATTTCCCTTTTTCTTTTTATTTCACTGTTTTTATTTTTCCCCTTCTTGTTCACTATAATATGACTGTATCTTAAAGATATGTAAGTTTTATTCACTATTTGTAATTTCAATTATACAACAGTCGATAATACTTCATGAATGATCTTATACCAGGATTTACTGTCTGATCATTCACGTCATTCCTACTAGAAAATCAATTATACTTTATATATTATTTGTATGAAATGTATCAATGAAGAAAAGAATGTAATGCAATAACTGAAATAAATAAATAAATAAATAAATGACAGCCGATCTTATAGTTGTTCACCCGGTACTATGACGCACACAGATCGCTCTTATATATCTTATTCAAAAAAAGTTTTTTGGGTTCACAGGAAAATTGCAAAATGATAATATACAGGATATATGGAGCAGTGCGTTTAAATTTTTTTTTTCATCAATTTTTTCGTTAATTTGCATTATTTAAATTTGATTTAGTAGGGACATCCCACACTGGATAATTCTTCGCAACCATAGGCAAATCACCCTGTATTTATGGTGGAACACATTTTCGCCTGTCATGAAAAACTATGAATTAATTTTTGTTATTACCTTCATGATTTTGACAGAAATTATTCGTCCTACGTAATCCCCAAGACTAAATAACAGATATGTTATTGTTGGAACGAAATATACATCTGCAAGAAAGATAAAAATATCATTATCATTGTCTGTGAATCTCTGTGATATTGCTGATCTCAGAACTTCATTCTATCAAAAATTAATAAACTCGAGCAAAATCACTTTGATAGACATAACGTCTTGAATAATTTGCTATAATCCTAGGAAACCTTCATGAATTCGGAATAATTTTTTTTAAGTTATTGATTTTTTCATCACCTTATAAACAGGAGAAGGGTTTCGTTAGATAGGTATGATGCTTTGAATTATTCACAAAAAAACTATTTTTAAATGAGTAATTTCGAATTTGCAATTATTTGGTATCAGAACTTTATTTTATCACTAAGAAGTTAATAGAACAAACTTGAACCAAATCGGATGAAGTTCTGACGCCACATGCTTAGCAACATTTTTACTGTGAAGAATTGTGTTTTTCTTCAATTTGCGATTTTTATATCAAAACTTCATGCTATGAGAAAAAAAGACTGCCTACAGAACAAACCAGAACCGAATCGCAAAAATTCTAAGGGTAGTAATCCCTTTTTTTCTATCCCTTGATGAAAATCAAAGTATTGTTGTTAATTATTATTGACAGTGAAATGAAGAATATTTTTGGAGAGCTCTTCAAAAGATATTCCCAATAGTGGGGAAATATAAAGAGTGTGTTCTGTTTGAAATCCATACATTATTGCTGTTTTCTGTAGATTTTCTCAGGTAGTGGAAACGTATCTTTTGATACGAGAAAGAAAAGAAAAATTTGAGCCTGTTCTCATATTTTTCTCCTACTGTCAAAAATAATGGGAAAGTTTCTTTCAGATGAATTTTTATAAAATGAGTTCGGAACTCTCCAGTTTTATGTCCACGCTGTACAGAATGGCGACCGATATGGACTGTAAAGCAAACTATGACGTACATTCTGAATATAGTTTGAAAATAGCTGATGGTAAAGAATATTGCTAGCGAATTGCTAACTAATAGCTAACGAATGAAAAAAATAGAAGTAATACTGGTAAACAAAAACATACATAACCACAAATGCACTGGGAGCAAGAATGCAGAAGGTAGTCAGCTATATCATTGAACATTCAATGATACTTTCCTTCCTATTTTCCTGCCATCGGTCAGAAAAGAATGAAGCCGACACCCATGGCTCCTTCCTCTTGTTATGCCTGTCAGTATTTTGAGTGGTGTAGACGGACTCGAAGTATTAGGCGCTGTTGCAAGATATAATCTGCAACTTTCCGAGGAAAATAGATCCGTTTTATTAAGGAAAGAACTCATTAGCAATAATAGCAATAATTTATCTTCATTAGTAATCAACTTCATTCAGCCAATGAGAGATTTATGGGAATTATTCATGATACTGACAAAGTAGGATTGAAGAACCTATTATATCCCATTGCTGTTATGATTTAGATATTATGCATTCAAAGAACAATATCCGGGAATCTAGACATTGAGATGATGTCGGCAACGTCGTACTGGCACAGAGAAGCGAATATTAACTCTGTGTGAATGTGGATTTTCAGAAAGTACGTCGTAGGAATGGTGGAAGAGCCAAGTTCCTCTTTTATTTATTTTTTTCTGAAGTGAAATTTGATCTTACGAATACAAGAAAAAATACGTATATATTGATGTTTCACAAACTTCACAGTGAGATAAAAACCACAATATAGGAAACTTCCCCATTGAAAGAGATAGGGGGTGGCACTTTATACCGTGTTTTTTATAAAGCATATTACATACCATTCCACCTATTACCATGTCCTTTGCCTTCCGACTCCACCAAAACAGTAACTCCAGGATAAACGGCCAAAGAAATCGCAAAAATGACGAAAACCGAGAACCCATAACCCCACATCTTCCTCAAAATAATCTTGTAACTGCTCCTCACGGCAGCCACCACATCCTGAGACTCGTCCACACCCACGCAATTCTCTACGTGGTACTTGAAGAAAATGGATTTCTCGAGGAACACGTAGAGGAAAATCGACAGGCCGATCATCAGGTTGCCGATGATGAAATAGACCATGGCGGAGTGGGTGGAGGAAGCGCCTATGGACAGGGCGGCGATCTGAGCGAGGGCAGCGAATATCCCTCCTAGCGACTGGCCGGCAGTCACTGCCGTTATGTATTTGGCCGAGAATTTTCCCACCACTCCTGCCAGGCTTCCGGAGAATATAGCACTACATACTGAAAACAATTTCAGGAATTTGTTTCTCAACTTAACAATGAAAAAGCCAAAATGCTCAAAGTTATGACGCGTCTGAACTGCTATCCTAAAAAACTTTTACCTAATTTACAGTTGCAACTGTAAATTAAAGTCTCACAGTCTCGGTTGCAACAGTCTCAGTTCTCACAATTTCTCACCAGCCTACAAGACATAGGCAGCTTTCTGTGAGTTGCAACTGTAAATTAGAGTATCACAGTCTCAGCGCATCGCGTGCTATAGAAGAATGAGAGCTGCCTATGTCTGGTAGTCTGGTGAGAAATTGTGAGAACTGAGACTGAGAGACTCTAGTTTACAGCGCCTATGGACAGGGCGGCGATCGGGGCGAGGGCAGCGAATATCCCTCCTAGCGACTGACCGGCAGTCACTGCCGTTATGTATTTCGCTGAGAATTTACCCACCAATCCTGCCAGGCTTCCGGAGAATATGGCACTACACACTGAAAACAATTTCAGGAATTTGTTTTGTCTACTTCAACAATGAAAAGCCCAAATGCTCAAAGTTATGACGCGTCTGAACTGCTATCCTAAAAAACTTTTGCCTAATCTACAGTTGCAACTGTTAATTAAAGTCTCACAGTCTCGGTTGCAACAGTCTCAGTTCTCACAATTTCTCACCAGACTACCAGACATAGGCAGCTTTCTGTGATTTGCAACTGTGAATTAGAGTCTCACAGTCTCAGCGCATCGCGTGCTATCGAAGAATGAAAGCTGCCTATGTCTGGTACTCTGGTGAGAAATTGTGAGAACCGAGACTGAGAGACTCTAGTTTACAGCGCCTATGGACAGGGCGGCGATCGGGGCGAGGGCAGCGAATATCCCTCCTAGCGACTGACCGGCAGTCACTGCCGTTATGTATTTCGCTGAGAATTTCCCCACCACTCCTGCCAGGCTTCCGGAGAATATGGCACTACACACTGAAAACAATTTCAGGAATTTGTTTTGTCAACTTCAACAATGAAAAAGCCAAAATGCTCAAAGTTACGACGCGTCTGTACTGCTATCCTAAAAAACTTTTGCCTAATTTACAGTTGCAACTGTAAATTAAACTCTCACAGTCTCGGTTGCAACAGTATCAGTTCTCACAATTTCTCACCAGACTACCAGACATAGGCAGCTTTCTGTGAGTTGCAACTGTGAATTAGTCTCACAGTCTCAGCGCATCGCGTGCTATCGAAGAATGAAAGCTGCCTATGTCTGGTACTCTGGTGAGAAATTGTGAGAACTGAGACTGAGAGGCTACAATTTACAGCGCCTATGGACAGGGCGGCGATCTGAGCGAGGGCGGCGAATATCCCTCCTAGCGACTGGCCGGCAGTCACTGCCGTTATGTATTTCGCCGAGAATTTTCCCACCACTCCTGCCAGGCTTCCGGAGAATATAGCACTACACACTGAAAACAATTTCAGGAATTTGTTTTGTCAACTTCAACAATGAAAAAGCCAAAATGCTCAAAGTTATGACGCGTCTGAACTGCTATCCTAAAAAACTTTTGCCTAATTTACAGTTGCAACTGTAAATTAAAGTCTCGATCACAGTCTCGGTTACAACAGTCTCAGTTCTCACAATTTCTCACCAGACTACCAGACATAGGCAGCTTTCTGTGAGTTGCAACTGTGAATTAGAGTCTCACAGTCTCAGCGCATCGCGTGCTATCGAAGAATGAGAGCTGCCTATGTCTGGTACTCTGGTGAGAAATTGTGAGAACTGAGACTGAGAGGCTCTAATTTACAGCGCCTATGGACAGGGCGGCGATCTGGGCGAGGGCAGCGAATATCCCTCCTAGCGACTGGCCGGCAGTCACTGCCGTTATGTATTTGGCCGAGAATTTTCCCACCACTCCTGCCAGGCTTCCGGAGAATATAGCACTACATACTGAAAACAATTTCAGGAATTTGTTTTGTCAACTTCAACAATGAAAAAGCCAAAATGCTCAAAGTTACGACGCGTCTGTACTGCTATCCTAAAAAACTTTTACCTAATTTACAGTTGCAATTGTAAATTAAAGTCTCACAGTCTCGGTTGCAACAGTCTCAGTTCTCACAATTTCTCACCAGACTACCAGACATAGGCAGCTTTCTGTGATTTGCAACTGTGAATTAGAGTCTCACAGTCCCAGCGCATCGCGTGCTATTGAAGAATGAAAGCTGCCTATGTCTGGTACTCTGGTGAGAAATTGTGAGAACTGAGACTGAGAGGCTCTAATTTACAGCGCCTATGGACAGGGCGGCGATCTGGGCGAGGGCAGCGAATATCCCTCCTAGCGACTGACCGGCAGTCACTGCCGTTATGTATTTCGCTGAGAATTTCCCCACCACTCCTGCCAGGCTTCCGGAGACTACACACTGAAAACAATTTCAGGAATTTTTTTTGTCAACTTCAACAACGAAAAAGCCAAAATGCTCAAAGTCACGACGCGTCTGAACTGCCATTCTAAAAAACTTTTGCCTAATTTACAGTTGCAACTGTAAATTAGAGTCTTACAGTCTCAGCGCATCGCATGCTATGGAAGAATGAAAGCTGCCTATGCCTGGTAGTCTGGTGAGAAATTGTGAGAACTGAGACTGTGAGACTCCAATTTACAGTTGCAACTGTAAATTAGAGTCTCACATTCTCAGCGCATCGCGTGCTATCGAAGAATGAAAGCTGCCTATGACTGGTAGTCTGGTGAGAAATTGTGAGAACTGAGACTGTGAGACTCTAATTTACAGTTACAACTGTAAATTAGAGTCTGACAGTCTCAACGCATCGCATGCTATCGAAGAATGAAAGCTGCTTATGTCTGATAGTCTGGTGAGAAATTGTGAGATCTAACATGATAATAAAAAATACATGAGAGATGAGATGCTGATAAAATGTATCGAAATGTCGTTTACATGGTGATTCATATTTTTTCAATGATTTGGGTAATACTAGTGATAGATCTTCCACTGAATAGAGGGTTAGTTGAGGAGCTACAGGGTGATATAATTTTTTTCACCATAATCATACATATCCATAGATATATCCATATCATATCCATCTTTGATTGGCTTATATTCCTCAATTGAATTCATGAAAATTGTTGCGAAAAATTCATCAGAAAAATAGATATGCAGCAAAATTCGTTTATGAACCCATATTTACATTGTAAGATTATACAATTATGGAAATTGATAACCATATGAGGTCAAAAGAGAGAGAGAGGGAGGGTGATATGGTTCAGTTCAAACTGATATAACGTGAAAATTCATGAAAAAGGTAGTTCCGAATTTCAATTATTCATTATTAAAACCAAAGGTAAAAAGAAGGAGCGTTCACCTCACTCCATGTTCACATTTTATCTACTATCCATATAATATATATAGAATACTAAAACTTACCATTAAGAAGAATTATCGTCAGCAATGTTAAACCGAAAAACGTTTGCTGCCCTAAAACAAATAGTAACTTGAATAATAATAGGATTATTATTAATATTGTTATTTTCTATTTTTTGACACTCATGTGAAAAAGAGGATACAGGGACAAAATAGAGAAGTTGGCTCTGATATACGATTCGATATACCTACCTATACTTCATTTAAATAAACATACGTATTTCCAGGTTTTAAATTCATATCCTTCGTTAAGGGAACTAACCTAATATTGCATAAAGTATCACTCACATGAATCTGTGTCCACATAAACAAATATCAACGTAAACAGCATCAATATTAACATACAAATCAACGATCCAATCACACGAAGATTCAACGAGATCCTGCAAAAACGAAGAAGATTTCAAGCCAATTCTATTGTTCTCAATTTTTTTGTATAACTGTTCTCATGTCTTAATTTTCATAAATAATACAGGGTGTTGCGAAATTCATGCTTTACAAAGGTGATGCGAATTAAGTAGCAAGCTAAGGACATCGCCGGTAGTTTTTAGGTGTGGTTATGTTTTATAAAATTAAAATCGCCCAGAACGGCTGAATTTTTGTGATTAATTTTGGTATACGATTTCTTCTTCGAAAACTCCATTTTTGACGATGCACTTCGATCATTTCATCCAGTGACGTGACACAGGGGGTCGTGGTAACATTTCCTCACATGTTTTTTGTTGCACTGGTGAAATTTTGATTAGTTTCATTTCTTCGAATTTCCTGTGCAGCTTTGTTGAAAAAAAACGCATAATATTCAAATGAGCTAAGGCATTTTTCATATAATCATTTTAAATAGTAGATCACAAAAATGTTTGTTCTCTGGTGAATAACAATTTCTGTTCAGCTTCAGAACAAAATTTAGAAGAACCTAATCATCACCACCAGAATATCCAAATCACATTTATATAATAATACTAGCTCACCCGACAAACGTTGTTATGCCATAAACATTATTTCTAGACTATATACTTTTTCAGTTAACTATTTTTCAACAGATTTCTATTATTTTATTTTCTACTTCTTTTTAGCTGGACAATTATTTATCTATACTTTGGTTTTTTAAACTATGCTAACTATTTTCTACTCCTATTTAGTTTGGCCTCGAGTTTCGCTATCTATAGCGTGTTTCATTATAGTTTTTCGAACTACTATTTAATATAAAGCTCGTTCGCCATATTGGATCTGTCATCTTGAATTTCCCAATTTTGACGAAAGAATCATAATCTCTCACCCCGAGTCCGACCCCGAAAACCCCCAGATACCAATTTTGAATGAAATCGGATTACCAAACTCGTCCGCCTTATTGGATCCGCCATCTTGAATTTTCAATTTGAAAAATAGTTTACGGCCTATTCTCATACCTACCGAATATGCACAAAACTTTTCTTGAGAATCGGCCAAGCAACAAACACCGTGACAGGGGCAAGAGAATTTTTGTACAGGGTGTCCCGAAATTACATAGAAAGATTTCAACCACGGTCACCACGGATTCTAGGAACAGAAACAGTAAAAAAAGTTCATATAAACATGATGATGGTTTTTTGTAAATATTTTCAAAGTCCACTGTGTTGTTGAGATAACGAAATATTGTATATGTATATTACTTTTCATGCCCGATTTGGATATGTTAAGAATTTTCCGGAATTTCGATGCAATTTTCGGCAGTTTGACCAGGAATTATGAAAATATCATCATTATTGCTTGAAAATGATACTCTTGTTAAGTTTCAATAGCACTCACCATTTTCGAGATATATCGATTTCAAAAGTCTGCTGGGTGACAAAAATAGTACTTTTTTTCTTATAATAAATAGGATACCAAATTTTCCCAAAAATATTCTTCGATGGGAAATACCATTTTTTCATAAGCTATATTACTTGTGATGTTTGACTCAAAATATGAGAGGAACAATAAAAAGAACAATTTCAAAAATATTATAGTAGGTACCCTATTAATAAAAAGTACTATTTCTACTCGTATTTTTATTACGCAGCAAACTTTTAAAATCGATTTATCTCGAAAATGGTGAGTGCTATCAAAACTGACCAAGAGTATCATTTTCAGGTAAAAATGCTGATATTTTCATAAATCTTGGTCAACCTGCCAAAAATTGCATTCAAAAAAAGTTGGGGGAAGAAAATTACCAACATTTCCAAATCGGACATGAAACATGTACAAAATTACACAAAGGGTTTCGGGAATATTCACAAAAATACCATCATCTCGGGAATGATGGAAGTAAGATATGGTGTAATTACTGATGCGCTTTTGTTTCAGAAATTTTACTCGACCTCTCGAGAACAGCGAGAGCAATGGTTCCATCTATCATCTAATAGATGGCGACATTGCACAATAATTATGACATCTGTCAGTTTGGAAATTGTCGCAGAGTTTTCGAATTCAGAGTTGAATAATCTCACTGTTACATATGTTCCGCGTACCTAAAATGCCATATGCCATTTTATTTCCACTCGTCACAGCAGCATAACCATCTAGCGGGAAAATGTAGAATCAACGTCTCGCTCGTTGTGACGTAGAGAAATCATGGTAGGCGGCCGAGTGATTTTTCTGAAATTTTCAATACGTAATAATGGCCATCTTTCAGATGGATATAGCTCCCCAGGGGGCCATTTCTGAACTTTTTTACTATTTTTGTTTCTGGAATCTGTGATTGGAATTTTTCTTTGTAATTTCGGGACACACTGTATATTAGATGATGGAAAATACCTATGCAAGTTTCATTTGAGGTCGAATATTTCAAATACGGTTGTTTTAAACATAGTTGAAGGATAACTTAGAAACATTAATAATTCTATCAGTGGCGTAGAAAATATGAGAGCAATAAGTTCCACAACCCCCTAGATACATTAGATAAAATGACCAAAAATAATTTGCTTGTCAGAAATTTGCCGATTTGAAGATATTTAGAAATTGAAAGCAAAAAATTTCATTTTATTATAACATCCTGTATCCCAAATGTCCCTACCTTGGTCGTTATCAGATTATTAGTGACCTGTGAAGTGTGAAGCCTTGTCGGTCGAATTTCGTAACCCCCTGTATAACGACTATAGAAATGTTCTATACAAATAGAAACGTTCGAAACTGAGAACTCACCTGTGACTAATTACAGTGTTTAAAGCAAGGAATACCAGATTTGGCAAAGATGATGCTAAACTTAAATACGACGTGAACTCAGCTTGCAATGGGGTACGTTGGTCAGTGGAAATGTAACTTGAATTTTTGCTAACTTTTCTAAATTTGTACATCCAATACTTGAAAAAAACAATATAAAAATTAGTAACGTCTCATCAAATAGATATAGGTACTTCAAGACAGAAACTGTAGTAAATCAAAATCTTGGAAAGCCATGAAAAATCGTATTGACAATGAGAAATAGATTAAATCCTCGGAGAAATCATGGGACTGAAAAGATTATCACTAATTCCAGAGTCAATATCGAAAATAATGATATTGCAAATGCCACCGAGGCAAATACAAAATTTTCGCAGATTTCTTTCCCATTCTGTATTGGTCAAAAAATCCAAATCAATGACCATGAGCACTTGTAATTGGATTTTATTCAGTCAATCAAAATTATCTTATTACATGAATATTTATTATTTCCATGGGAAATATTCCACATAATGCCATCATAATACATGATATTATACTCGATATTATACTAGTGTAGTAAAAACTTAAATGATAAGGGTACAGATAAATTCTTTTTACCATTGCCATTTTTATTTAAATAATATATGATAACCTATCATTTATTATGTATATTCTGTCTGTATGTTATTACTGTAGTAAATACTGCATTCATGATGCACTTTAAGCATTTTTGCAAAATGACATCACCATTCTGGATTTCCATTCATAATTAATGAGCTCTTACCTTTGAATTGCTGCTAAATTTGAGTCTATTTTAGACTACAAATAAGAATTAATAGGCAAAAGGGGAAGGCAAATGAGGAGACAAATGTTAACAAATACAAAACAGAGGAATATATTTTTGGATATATCCCACAATATCATACAGTGACTGTTCTTCTGATAATTATTTAGGAAATTAATAAACTCATCATACAGGGTATTTCACAAGAATGATGAGTGTTGAACTGTTTAAACATTCTGTCAACTTTAATATTTTTTGAAAATACCTACCTATCTAGAATATTCATGAATTCTGGGAATATTTGAAAAGTCATTCAGTGATGAGAACTGACAATCTTGATGATTTTTTGAAATCACAATAGCAGAGATGTATAAATTTTGTTGAAGATGGTTAAAGTAAAATTTCTATGGATTTCTTTATATCAAGTAGAGGTATACCTTTTCAATGAAAATCATAACATGGTGACTTGATATACCTAGATGCCTATTATCTTGAAAAATAGAAAGTATATAGCTGAGTTTATAGGCTATGGCTTTGTGTATGTATGGTGTATGTAACCAATATATTGAATGGAATAAAACAATCATATTTTATAACTGGTGTGAACATTTGGAACAATTTAAAAAATATACCTACAAGGGTGAGGAATGTATGTTCACCAAAACAATTTAATAATAATGAGTAATTTTCACATGGTTTCTGAAACAATTTCAACAATCCACCCCCTTTGGAGAAAACAATGAAAGCAAATATATTAACAGTATGTGATAGATACATCATAAATTCCTGCTATAAATATTCAAGTTGGTTGGTTGGTAGGTATATAAGAAATTGTACTTACATCATCAGCCGTTACATAAAAATTCCAGGGCAACAAAGAGACTATTCCCAAAAAATATAATATGAAGTATGCCACATTGAATTTGTCTCTAGGTTCCAGTGGCTTGAACAAGGGTTTATCATCTTTAACAACCACTTCATGTTGCACCTCTTCCTCTTCATCAGAATTAATTCCATTTTGTAACAAAGGAGTTGTGTTCACAGAATAAGCCATTCTTTAGTTCAAAAAATGTATGACTAGCAATAGCAATAAACTGCCTTGGTCAGAGCTGTTTATTCTAATGATTCATTGTTTTGTTATATTATCTGATATTTACTAATACTAGTAATACTTTATGTAAAAATTCATTAGCAGATAAAGACTTGAAGCATGTTTGAACGCGCGAAGTCGAACTTTCATGAATTCATGAAATGTTTTATTACTTTTTCAATATCAATATTATCAATAACAAGAACTGACAATGACACTGACGTCACTGACAGCTCACAGCTGACTACTACAGTGTTGCCAGTTGCCGTGAATAAAATGTTGCTAGTTGCAAAAATTCATTAGAAAAGCCACCAACGAAGGCGTTTATTATTATTATTACTATTATTATCATTAGATGTCGCTAATAGGCACAGCTAGTAGTTTTCAATCATCCAATATGCGATTGTATTGTACTCCTAATGGGCCGGCCTTGTGTACAGCAGACACAAACAACGTGAAAATGGCTGATGCTGTGAATCCTTAAATCCACAAGTTATTATATAGATCGACATCATAGACATGCAGTGCCAACGTTGATACATCTCACATACTGCGTAGATGCCTCAGCCATTTAAATGCTCGCTTATTGTTGGTAGATGATGGTCTCGACAGAGATTCACATCCTGATCAAAATATCTTCAAGAAATGACTCCAACAATGTGTGGAACGCTAGATTCGTGACATGTTGGATTATCACAGAAAACTGCTCAAAAACGACAGAATTCCGATCGCAAATCGTGTTCAAATATCGCATTGACCTCATATTATATTGAGCTTTGAGCTATCCTAAAACGCTAGATGCAGATACAAAATCGCTTAGACGGCAACACTGAACTACTACTTGACTGACAACTGACAAGCATCAAGAAAGACGTTACAGGTTTGTTCAGCAGTAGTTTGTTCGGTGAAAAGTGTCAGTGTAGTGCTGCGCACTACGTTGTTCGAGTCTAATCCAATAACAGGATGTTTCAGTGTAAGCTGGGTTGCCGCATATTCAGGCGGCAGTAGACAGTCAAAATGAATTCAAAACACTAATTTCATAATATATTCAACGAAATCATTAGTATTCGAATTCGAATGTGGGAATTCATTCCGAATTTCGCTAATAATTTATTAATTCGATTTCCTACCACAAAATAATGTTTTCTCGCTCAAAGTATCCTTCCTATATTTCAACACCTATCGCTAGAGTGAAAAAATATTGGTGATAATAATAATAATAATGAATGTTCTATGGCCATCGGCCGAAGTCCTTCAGCCAGATTGGTAATATTTTTCAAACTGAATGGCAAAATTTGTTTCTCCATCTCTTGGAGCGCACGAAAGGAAATTTCCATAATGTTCGAGGAACATCGTGCGTACCTAGGGAGGAAAGCTCGGAGGAAAGGGAGATGAGGAGGTAGGTATTGGATTTCCAGTAATTTCCAGAAAAATCATATTTGGTTATAGATGACTCTCAAGAACCTTATACAAATTTTTTGGGATTTTTATTCTGGCCGGATCTTAGGTGAAAAAATTATTGAAATCGGCAAAATGATCTAACGAATTCAAACGAGTATTAAAGGGAGGGAACCGTTGACGTCAGCGCGCGAACGATTTCGATTGGTTACATGGTCATGTTGTATGATGTTGTCTCGCTTGTTGAAAAATCAATAAAAAGTTTTCCAATGTTGCCATATTACATAAAATGTACGAACTCTTAGGACAAAACGAGGAAGAAATAATTTAACATCTAGATGGTGCAGGGTATTTCACTACCTATCTCACATAGAGAAAACCAGGTAGGTATTTACCAATAATGAGCTCGTAAGAGGTATTTTGGGCCAGGTATATAAACTGTACTTTCAATTGATTAGGGATGATTAGGAGATTGATCATCAGAAGATAATATATATAATATGTATTGATATAGCAACAATTTGAGAACACTAATACAAGTTATATTTAATTGATTCTGAAATATCCAGAACATCATCAGTTACTATTCAATTTGATTAGTGTACAGTGAATATTAGAAATCGTTGTAAAAGGCTCGGCAACAGTGTTGGTATGACTTTCGTGTTTGTGCTTCGACTGACGAGTCATGTCTGGTCATAGGTTATGTTCAAGATAAAGCATGGTTGCCACATGAGTTATTATATTTTCCAGGGAGGAGGAACGTTAATGGTTAAAACACGTTTAAATTTGGTATATCGAGATATTTTGATAAGTATTAGTCATGACATGAGATATATCGAATTAACCGATCACTGAATCAGTTATTTATAGCAACTAAATGATACAAAACACTGATCCCAATGGATATTTGTGTATCCAAAATTATTATGAAAATACCCTATAATACCCTCGGTGATATCTAATATTTTCAATTTCTTGGTAAGTGAACAATAGTCAGCAATGTATTGATCAAGATTCAGTTATTTGAATTCCTATTTATATTATATCTAGATATTTTATAAAGACTTGGCAACTGTGTTGTTTCTCTCAGCTAATCCCGCCCCTCTGTCGCCATTACCATATTCAACCAATCAAATCACTACGCGCCCTGACGTCACAAACTGCCACCACATTTTAAACGTTTGAATATTCGTGTTTGAATCACGCGATTTCGACACTGATTTATAAGGCAATGGTTTGGAATAAAAAAATAAAAAAAATTCTGGACTATGATTTGGATGGTCCTTCATAACATTATGACAAAAAAACTGCAAATTTTTTGAAACTGGAAATGCCCGAAGCAAGTTCAGATATTTTTATTCAGAAATTCTGAAATATGCTACGAGTGTTCATATTTATAATATACAGAAAATTGAGGTTTCCTACTTCCGACACTAATTAACGCTCAGATAATTTTTGAACACGTATTTAAAAACCGATTCAAGTTTTTAGTTCTAGATTTCTGAATTACCTACCTATAAAAAAAGTTGAGAAATATCTTGGACCGCAGTGAACTAAAGGTTATTGACACAGGACACAGGACCCATCAAAAGGAAACAAATCGTACAGAGTACATTGACTTCAACTAGATTTGAGCTAGGTCTTTACGACAAAATAAACCATCAAAAATCACGTTTGATACCTGGTCCCAAATTAGGTTAAATTTTTTGAACGAGAACTTTCTCTTCTGCCCGGTCATAGAACTCATTGGTTCTCTTGTCAAAAGGGCACTGATATTCAAGAATTTCATTTCCAAACGTACCTACATTAGGCTAGGTAAGTGTTACATGGTCATTTTCAGAGAGATTTTTAAGCGGGTTTATTGAACTTTATAAAAGTTTAAAATAGGTACCATTAGATATTTGGGAACTCGAATGAACATAATTCTGAATAATATTATTGAGAAGAAAAAAGAAATATTCTGAGATATATTATGAACAAGAAAAATAATTATACATATATAAAGAAAATACATTGAGAATTCGCATTCTCTATCTGATAAAAATGAGTGATAATTCTGTCTCGTTAACATTCAATAAAAAAACAACACTAATACTTTCCGAACATTGAATTACGTCTATTGATGAACACAAACAAAGAATTTGAAAATGAAATCTTCGGAAATTGAGAATTTGCATTCTCTCTCAAATAAAAATATACAGGGTCAGTCAAAAATGTGTACCGAGCTTTCTGAGGTGATAGAACATTGAAAAATAAGTATAGTTTGATGAATAAACTTGTATTGAGGAAATATATATCCTTCCTAAGTTGATTAAATTAAAAATTTCTAAACGGTAGATGCCAACAAATTGAAATTTTTCTGATACACTCCTAAAATTCTGCTACAGTTATAAAGGGTGTTTTTAGAGGGTGAGTCATGATGTTCGGCTTCTTTATATTATAACTGTAATTTTCAACTGAGATTTTGAAAAATGACAGATTTTATTCGTGATGTGGAGATGTTTCTCGCTTGACGCGTTCCAAATCCTAGAACGATTTTCAGGCTTGGTTGCGTGAAAAATGGTGCTTCAAAAAGAAAAATAGAGAAGTTCGAGACCTACTGAAATATTGTTACTGATGAATTTTACCTGCTGATATCATGTCACTACAAAAACTCTAATATCTCGAGAACATTTTTAGTTTTTTGATAAGAGTACCATTTTCAGGTGATTTTCTTCTCTCTATCAGATGCTTCTGTTTTCTTTCACCGGAAATAATTCAAGGAATAAAGTTGTCTTCAAAAAATCATGACCCACGCTCTAAAAACACCCTTTATAACTATAGCAGAAATATAGAAGTGCATCAAAGAACTGGTATTTCAACAACATACATTTATGCAGGTAATTTCAGTTTGGTGACTTTTATACCGTTTAGAAAGTTATGCGGAAAAAATATTTTAATTTAATCAACTTTGGAAGGATATATCTCCCTCAATACATTTTCAGCCATCAGTTTGTTCATCAAACTATACTTATTTTTTGATGTACTATCACATCCAGAAAGATGGGTACACATTGTTGACTCACCCTGTATATAATATCATTCGGAATATTCAACAGAAAACTACTACTCTGCTGGCTACTTACCACGTCGAACATTGAATTATATGAAGGAGCTGTGAATCGTTCTTTGTAAATTTTGAATAATTATTTCTATGGTGCTTACACATCAGGTGTTGAGATGGTAAAAACTTGAAATTTAGGGGTGCGTACCTAAAAAACATTAAAAATTTTGCGTATTCGCCATATTTTACATGATATTTTAAGTTTCCATAATAAAAATTTGTGTGCGCTGTTCGATTCTCAAAATAAGACAGTTTTTGCCTACTGAACTATTTATTTAGCTAACAAGTGCGGAAAGTAGTATACTTTTCCGCAAGAGTTAAGTACATTGTTTTCCCTGCGAGTGTTTTTGTGCATATATTATATATGGAAAAAAAGTGCGGTAAAGTTACTCTCCCGCACGATTTCATCGATGTATCGTGCGGAAAAATAAAAATCGTGCGGAGAAGTAAAAATCGTGAAAAA